AATGACCCTGCAGTGAAATAAGTATTCACACAGAATGTTGAATAACTGATGTTTACCTAGGAAACATTCATCTTCTGTGATATAAGATATGTGCTTACTATGATTCAGGGATTTTCCCCCCAGGCATCTTTGTTATGTTTCTGATTTGTGTTGAAAACTTCTAACTAAAGAATCAGGACAAGAATAGACAAGGAAAATATCCAAGAGTTATAGGGGCCAGCTTAGTTGCTAAGAGATTCACTTAAACAGCACAGACCAAGTACATAAGCACAAAAAGGAGAAGATTATAAAAATAACTAAGTAAATAAATAATCTGAAAATTTAGCCAAATGCTGCAGTAAACCTGACCATCTGAATCTACACAGCAGATAATAATCCCAATCATAACTGCCAGAAACAACATTCCATGAATGGTTTTATTTTAAGATATAACATGGATTTTTTTTAAAAGTAATTCAAATATACCTATATAAATTTATCTGCATTTTAATAAAAAAAGGGGGGATATTGTAGAAATTCTTATCAGAATCAAAAATTCTGTAAAACCTGTTTACATAACAAGCATAAATTTCTATGTGTATTTATGTTAGAATCATAATAGAATTATAGAGTAATAATAATGAACAGTCCTTGGAAATTCAATTGGTGTCTGGCATTCTAGTATAAGTTCTTGCCTAAAATATAATCTTTACTTTATTTTCAGGTGAATAAGTTCTATATGTATTTTTCTAAGATCAGAGAGGGGCTTTTCTTCAATTGTTTTCAACCACAAAAGAATGACATTAATATAATAAGAATCAAGGGGTTTGGAATGTCTCCCAGTCAAGAACATTGTGCATCTGTTGGGTTCCTAGAAGACTGGATAAGAAATATTACTGAGTTATTTGTTTTAACTTAGTCTGAAAGGCAACATCCAGTTCTCATCTGATTTAAATGTTTTCATTTGTAGAAAAATTATGCCTAAATTTGGCAACCAAATTCCTATCCATTATTCAATCCAGCATTATCTTCGGTTTGAAGGGACCTCTAGTGGTCTTTTAAAGACATCTACAAATCACTGTAGAAATGTTAACTTAAAAAATGCTGTGTGCTATACACCACTACTGTAGATAAGTCTTTTCAATACTTATCATATTTCTCCAAGCCATACTTTAGGATTGAAGGGGAGTATCTTAGGGGACCCAAGAAAAACGTGCCTGGAAAATCTGGGTGTGCGTCTTCAACAGACAATTCCTGATTATTTGCAATTGACTTTCACTGCTACAAAACAGTCTGTTCACTGCTACAAAAAAGTCTGTTGCAATGAATACCAGAAGACAGATAATTCAACAGGTGAGGTCAAAAGAGAAAAATTAGATGCAATCTCTATTCTCCATCCACGTGTTCATGAAATATCTGGAAAACACTCCATTATGTCGACGCAGTAGAACAAATATAGAAAGTTGTTTCTTGTTAAGAAGCCTGAAGTGACGTCAAGACCAACCCGTCTCTGAGTGGTGCAGATGTGTTGAACAATGGACACTGTAGTCCGGCAGGTCTGAAGAAGCCGGCTGAGGAAGGCTAATTCAGACCTAGTTGTCTGGCAGGAAGACTTTCATTTCCCTGGTCCTAGTTTTTAAGAAGGAACGCCTGCTTCAAAATGCAAGAACACCATGATTTGATGAAAGCAGGCACGGAAGAGGCTATTTGGCGCCCTCTGGAAAAACAAGCCTTCTTCTCATGAATTATTATTATTCATACGGGAAAGGCAGCCGGTCAACCCCGCCATTCTAGACCAAAAGCACGACCAGCCAACATCCTCCAGGCCTTGAGGAGAGCGACCCTGCTTATTATTTATGAGCGAGGCGGGGCGAAGTAGGAGGGCGGGAGATTTCAGAAAGACCGTGCAATTGTACGAGGCTCAGTGAAGGCGGGGTGGGGGTGGGAGCGGGAAATTTACAACCTGCGATATAAAGGAGAATTAATAACACATTTTACTATTTCGGATGAATTATTGTTGAGAGAAATAACGTTCCTGTGGTAAATAAATGTCCGCAGTTGCGTGAATATTCACACCCAGGATTTTCAGTATGAGGCCATTCTTTTTAACAAAAACTTTGTATTTAGGCATATAACATTCTGGAAGCCTTTGAAGATGAAAAGTGAGATGCAAATGATTTCAAAGAAGAAATTCATTATTCTGAGCATCTCTTGAATAGAAACAAAATGAACATTCTACAAGAAAAGAGGATACTTAACATGTATGGGAAAACAGTCTAAATTTCTCAGTGATATTTTATTCATTGTATTTCTATGAGGAAGTAAATGATCCAATGTGTTGCAAATAATCACAAAATAACATTGATAAAAATGACGTTGTAGGAGAGGAGGTTTTTTTTAATGAAAATGTTGCTGAAAAGGCTGCTTTATTTCTTATAGTACTATATAACAGTTCATTCTGAATTAAAGATTGTGCTTGGAGATTCTGACTGACATGCTATGAAACAACAAACTTCACATTTTAATTATCCTATTAAATTAAGTTCATATTCCTTTAGTCATCAGAAGAGCATATTTTTATAATACTGGTTAGAAAATGCAGATTGTTTAAAATATTGTAGAGGAATTTGGATGTAAATTAGTCCAATATATATTATTAAAATTTTAAATTAAGATAGTCCAATATGTTCCTCTCCCCTATTTCAGTAGCTATGTATTTTTGCCTCATACAAATTAATGATCCACATTCCACCCTGAGGGAGAGCTTTCAAAGTAAGATTAAAATAACAATGCTAAAATATTTGTGTATATGATATACATTCCATTATATTTGGTGATGTTGATATTTTCTCTCATTTTACCTGCCCAATTTACTTGGTAGGGCTGAACAATAACCTATGGTTTGTGAACACTGCTAAATTCAGTCTCAAAAAAAGGAAAGCTCATTTTAGAGAGGCAAAAAATAATTTTTGGGATGATGCTGTAGCAGGAACTGCAATATATAATACTAACCAAGTGTTCTAATATATATATCCCAAACAGAAACAAACTGAAAATGAAAAAATGTCACTTTTAAGAATCAATAGAATAATGATATTTTAACTGTAGAAAATACCTTATAAGACTAGCTCATTTCTCAAATAACGTTTTTTAAAAACCAAATGTGACAGTGACATCTTTTCCTGTTGATTGTCCTGAACAGCTTTATCAGCAATCTTCAATATTTGCTATAATATCTTTCATCAATGTCTACATGGAGAGGCAAAGAGGGGAATAGCATTTGACAATACATCCATTGTAAAAGACTGTCTCATGCAATGGGAGTTAATCAATATGGAGCTGCAAGGTTTCATCTCAAAATATAATGCAGGGAGATAATATTTGAAAATTTGGAGTTCAGTATTACCTGTAAATTAATGCTATTCTCTTATGTCTTTTTTAAATCTTGAAAAGGTAGTAGAAACAACTTTAAACAGCATTTTGGGTATCAACAATGAGCCAAATGAAACCTAGTAAAGGGAAACAGAAGATCAGGCCACCTGATACTGAGACTGTAATGGTAGGTGGCCCGATTTCTCTCTCTCTCTCTCTCTCTCTCTCTCTCTCTCTCTCTCTCTCTCTCTCTCTCTCTCTCTCTCTCTCTCTCTCTCTCTCTCTCTCACTCTCACATACAGTCCCAGATTGTGAATCAGTCCCAGATTGTGAATCGAATTGAAGATGATAATAATAATAATAATAATAATAATAATAATAATAATAATAATGATGATGATGATGATGATGATGATGATGATGATGATGATGGTGATGATGATGATGATGATGATGATGATAACTAGAAGATGAGCCTTTTCTGCAGTAGCCCCTGCTTTGTGTGATGTTCTCCCCTCAGAGATTAGAATGGCCCCAACCCTGTTGGCCTTTCACAAGGCTCTAAGAACATAGCTATGTATCTAAGCCTGGGGCTTGGAATATATTAAGGTCTCCATTTATTGGCTTTACTATTAGCTGGTTAACTACCTTGGCTACTGTACATATTTATTATTGAATGTTTTTACTATTTTATTGTTTTTAATCATTTTACCTGGTGTATAGTTTTAGGCAGTGCTTTTTTTGTAAAAAAAAAAAAAAAAAAAAAAAGGGTGCCGGAACTCACACATGTCATACAACCCGCCTTGCCTACCCTACAAGGTTCCATCCAAAAAAGGTGCCGGAACTCCGTTCTGGGCATTCTATGAAAAAAAAAGCCCTGGTTTTAGGACTATAAGTCTCCCCATGCCACTTGATTGAGATACGCAGCTATAGAAATTGAATAAACAAATAAAACTTAAACTGATATAATTGAAAAGGAAGAATATTTCATCAATCATAAATCTTTTGGGGGAAAATATTTGGAAGGATTTTTTACCAATTAAGAGTGGTTACTATTTACTAAGAGCTGGTAACATTTCAAATTACATTTTCAAAAAGTGCTTCAGCACATCTGTCTTCTAGTCACATTTTTTATTTCAGCAGTTCTGTCTATGAGAGAGAACATAGCTGCTTTAAGGTGTTTCAAAGAGATGCTATGTTTGCTCTCACTATGTGCATTTTTTGAGATTAAATTAAAAATGCTGCCCAGCTGTTTTACTGATTATCATTATGAATTGAAGGAGTGTTCTCATTATTTGCATCATTTATTCAAATTAAGTAATTAGAATGTATTGATTTGTGAGCAATATTTCTCTTGCTTCTAATTATCTGAGGTTTTAGATTTCTAATGCGAAGTCTAAGACTAAATGATCCAACTCTATAATAAATCTGATTTTCAGGGTTTTTTGCAGGAATCCAAGAATATATTAATTTTATGCATCATTGACATAACATTTATGTGTGCTGTATTTATGCATCAACTAAGCATAATTCTGCCACTTTCCTGCCTACTTCTATTGTTTTGTTGATTTAATTTTCCTACTTAATTAAAATAATGTTTTATTTTAATTGTTTTTCTTCAGGATACATCTGCAAACCAAGAAAACATGATGGCATCTCCTGCAAGAAGTAGTTCTACTTCGATTCCTAACCAAAAACATCAATGCAGTTATCAACATTCTAGCAAATTTAGTAATACCATGCAAATAGATTTTGCATATCTGGCCACACTTGGGGATTTCAAATCCCTTCCTTTAGAAATATTTGAAATGGTTTTAGGATACCTTTCAGGTGAGTCACTTCTATCCTGCATGTAAAATATGGCAACCACATTGCCACTATAGAATTAGGATCTAAATTCAGGGTGGAATTTTAAGTCCCTAAAAGGACAATCAAGAAGCCATAGGATTTTTAAACTCCCTCTCTTTGGCTGGAGAAGAAGTACGTATCTGTGAAAGCTGTTTTAACTGTAAGCATAGCTATTCCACAATCACTGTTTTGATAAATATCAGTGTGAAAAAGTTGCATTACAGAATGACTGGTTAGTGACTTACCAGGATACACTTTAGAGAACCATTATAATTCTAAGTTCCTCAGAGCATTCTTATACTTGAAGTTGATGCATTTATTTTCAATCCTGTTGGAGCCAGTTGGAGAAATAAGACAAACAAAATTTTGTGGAAGAAAGGCTGCACCACATGGTTTCAGGGCAATGAGTACCATTGCCTCTTGTGCTACACACCCCACATAAAACTATTCCTTTGAAATATATTTTAAAATACGTTCTTAAAAAATAAGCAGACTTCCAGAAGGATTGCAAAACAGGCAAAATTAGACTATTATCAGTACTGACACTGATTTCCTGTGTTTTTCAGCATACATAGAGTGAGAGGCTGAAATCACCACAAGCACGTATTAAAGTACTGGTTATAAATACATTTGTACACATTCATTTTCTTTCTGTTTAATCTTTTTTTTTTTTTAGGTACATCAGTTGTTTGCTATCTGCTTCTGTCTTAGGAAGTTCAGCAACTAAAATTCACACCAAACAAAGAATTACTAACCTCTCTTAAATCTAAATGAATATGTGAAAGAAAAATAAGTAGGGTTGCATAGGCTCTTGGATTCAATTTCCAGATTGAATCCAAGTGGAAGCATGAACATAGCACTCTTTCAGTCACAAGTACTGCTCAGATTTAAAAATAAGCTTTTGACCATGTGATGACATGGAAAAAATACTTAAGCTCAGTGCTTTTTTTCTAAAAAAAAAAAAAAAAAAAAGAGGTGCCGGAACTCACACACGTCATACAATCCGCCTTGCCTACCCTACAAGGTTCCATCCCCAAAAGGTGCTGGAACTCCATTCTGGGCGTTCTATGAGAAAAAAAAGCCCTGCTTAAGCTGTAATATGTGAGGAGACAGAAAGCAAGCTCTTGTATCTGAATTAACTCCAAACCCACCAATTGACTCAGTTTGGGACCTTTGTGTGCAGAATTTTCACTTCCTAGGGTCCCTTAAAAACAACTTCATGCCAGTTTAGATTTCTTCTTATCACAGCCAGTCTTGGATTGCTGAATTCTAGTAGCGCTACTTGAAAATTGCCTTCAAAGCTTTTTTACTTGTTAATTAGACAGAGTTAAACTGGCTTAACTATCCATCAAAAAAGACAAATATGGAATCATAGAGGGATGGCGTGTGAAAATCTACATATGGTAGTATGAATTTTTTTTAACTGATTTTCCCAGGGCTTTTTTAGAGATTGGTTCCCAACCTGATAATAGAGGAAACTGTTGAAATGAACAAACATCAAATGTAGATGACTGTAGATAATGCATTGGATGCATTTGAAGATTAGGCTTGGGAGAAGTAGTTTGCCTGGTGAATTTTAACTGTTTTGTAATAATAAATAACTCTCCTGTTCTTTTTCCCCATTGATTATTATTCCTCTTGTAAAGTTACTTCTTTCCATTACTTCACTTCCATTCAGTTCCCTTTCTTTATTCTAACTGCCATTTTTCTTTTTCTCTTTTCCATCCTGTATTTTCTTTCCTTCTAACTGTTTCTGCTGTAAGGATGTTTAAGTGGCTGCTGTTACCCACAGTGACACAAAAATAAGAAAATGTGACATCATGATGCAAGCTCAGTCCTTTTGTATTTGTGTTGCACCGTTGCACACAAGTACCTAAGGGTCTGAGGATTATGTTCTGATACATATTTTGTCACTTGCTCATAGACTCCTATTTTTTTTTTAATTGAAAATTTTTAAAAGTTTTACAATATAACTCCCCACCTCCCTCCAACCCCACCCTTCCCCACCGCCCTCCCTTCCCCCCGACTTCCCAGAGCTACACACAGGGTTTACAATACAATAATTATACTCTGTCTTAAATTATATTACCCTTAAGTTAACAATTCTATAACATCCTTTAGCTCTCTCCTAAACTAACATGTTAAACATCATTATTACAAATTATTTAATTTTAATAAAATACCCTACATTAACAATCACAAATTTACTCAAAAACCAAATGAA